AAAATAGAAAAAATTAAACAAACAAACAATCATATTTTATTATTATCTTTGAAGTTTTTGTAGCACATATGAAAGATCAGGATTTAAAGAGAATATAAGCTTGCGAAAGGTATTAAATATCAATATATTGATGGACGTACGAGGAAAGCAACCTAAACCATATTTATATAACAAGACGCATGAGGAGAAACAACGGGCTATAGAGATCGAGACAAGTGTAGTTGAGAGAAGTGAATCTTCAATAGGGTCGGGTCGATGTGGAGGCTTGACCCAATGACCTGAAAGCGCGCATGCCGGATAGTTTACGAAGTGCGACCTGGATCGATTGTAGGTGCGCTAGAAATCTGACCGAAGTTAAAATCCTTCGGTGTGCACTCAGATTAATTTTTCTCCTGTCAAGCTTCCGTTTGTCACCGGAAATGATAACGATTGAACAGCGATTGTCGGCACGGTGACGCAGCGACAACTCAACGTCATCGACACGAAGTTTTTTTTCTCGCAAATACGTTCTACAAACCGTTATAAACCTCGATTCGGTCTTTCTTCAAGTGACGTCGCCTGTCTTTGTTCCGTTTGTTACTGTCTGATATGCACCGCTGTATATTTACACGCCGGTTTTTCGAGTGACAACAGGCTGCACTCACACGATCTCGTTCGTCCACTTTTACCAGCGAGTAAGCGGAAGAATTCCGAAACGGGTCGATGACCTAACCGATGCATGACTTTCGATCTTACTTCACTCGATCGACTTCACAATCTTAAAACGTTAATTTCCATTCGTCAAAAGTCGAAAGATATAAAACGAATACAATTTTGTCTCGAGCAACTTGACGATTTGCAAGGATTATGAGTTTATTTGAGTGCCTTGAAGATAAATATATCTTCACTTCGAAAATAATCTTTGAAGATAATTTTACAAATCAGATTATATGATACATCTATAGAAATTTATTTATTCGTTTGCTCAATATCACTAATAAACAGTCTTAGTTGATAGAGCTGTTTTTTTTACAGTTTATAAGAGTCTCTTTTTGAAAGTGAAAACAAGTCACGGGTTAGATTAACACTTGGATGAGAGTGACGATGAATAGACACGAGTTAAAGATAAGAGACGACTGCCTGACGCGCTGTTGTCTCGCGCGTCAATAATTAATGCTCTACGTGTACGCGTTAACGCGCGTTACAAATATTATCGCGCTTTACTTATATCGCGAAGCATCATTTCTGCGGCAAACAAAGTTTTGACAATAAAATGCCATGTTAGCGATATAACGTTTCGCGTCGAATACATCGTCATAAAGATATGCTCGTAGCTGGCCAACTCCATAATTCTAAATAATTAATTTGCTGAGCGTTTATTTTTCGCGTCGTTCGCGCATAACACGCGCGGCGAAGCTTCCAACCTTGAACGACACGACTTTCGCTGACTAATTGGAAATTTTGTCGATCGTGCATTCTATATCACGCGTTTGTCTCGTGTCCCGGGCCGATTTTCTGTACGTTCGAAATGATCGAACATATAAATCGATATTTTGGCATGGAGCACTGATAGCGCTCCGGGCGTGTGTCCTCGATCCCTCGATTACGTAAGACTCTTATTGGGCTCTCGCAGGTGTGTAGGAACGGAGGTCGCGTTGCCACATTTGAAAGTGATGTCGACCTTTCCTAGAGAAACGTTCCTCAATTCGACAAACCTGCTACACTACCGATTTACATACCGCGACCATAATATCCGTGGGATCTATTTCGTGAAATTCGAAATGGATGGGTGAAACGAACGAGAAATATCACGATATTTCGGCGATTTTGAATTCTTCCCCGAGTATCGTGCTATTTTATTCCGAGATATGTGATTATAATTTTTTTCTTGCAGTGAAAATATATCAATAAATATATTTAACTTAAACAAATTCTGAAACTTTTTGGAATTCATTATTATAATGTAATTTGTAAAATTCTGAATTTTGTGAAGCAAAGACACACAGAGGAAATCTCTATATGTTACGATTTCTTTAAAGAGTATCTCTTGATCTAGCTATAGATTTTAATATATACTTCTAGAAAGCTCTCTAAGCGGGAGAAAGAGAAGAGAAAGAGAGAGTAATGTTTAAGGATTAAGATTTAACTGCACATATAAAGATTAAACTATTTTACAATTTCAGGAAGAAAAGATTAAAATTACACAATGCTGCAGTACGCGCAGTACACCCAGCTCTCTCTC